CCTCACAAAGTAAGCCACGTCCAACGGGTAGTTCGAAACCCACCAGACGGCCAGTGGATAGCGATGCCAATGAAGCGGTTAAACCCATTCTGCTGAATATAACGTCCACTGCAAGCGCACCGAGTGCCACAATACATCGACGTCCCACACCAACGACGCCAGCACCAACAATAAGTAGTGACGAACAACCCACCGAAGTACAGAACACCCGAGTGCCAGCGCCTAATGAAACGGTGGCACAGACGACACACGCGCCGAAACCGCGACCTAAACCTACAGCCGAGATTGTGAAGGTGCCCAAGCCAACAGCGGGGGTAGGACCTACAACGGTTTCACCGGCGCCAACAACTACAACGACTGCGGCCGTCACCACAAAGCGACCAAGCACTATGCAAGCGCCGCCCACAAGAACGAAACCAACAACAACAAGTACTACAACAACCACCACAACAACTACGCCGAAACCACAAACGAGTACCACAACAACTACAACCACAATTGCACCCATTAGCAGCACTACACCACAGTCGGCAACACTCACCACAGAAGCTGCCAAAGTTGAGCCGCCACTTGTTGAAATGACGACCCTAACGCCTGGTCTGATAACGTGGACGAATGTGGACAATGAACCGACCACCATGAATGCAACCGTTGAATGGGCACCAGAACCAACTATTCTTGAGCAGGAAATTAGCAATAAAACTACGGCAACGATGAGCGGAGCAAATGAAACAAGTAAGTGGTTAAGTAGGAAATAGGTTATCTACAGGAGCCTCAACGGTATTCAAGTATAAATAGTATTTAATTCAAAAGGAATAAAAAATAACTTCAAATATTTTATATTTTTGTCTTTCTCACCAGCTTTTACAACAACACCGCCTGCCACCAGCACCCTCATATCCGTTTCGACCAGTATTAGCGAAGTAATGAGCAACATAACCTCAATAATGCCCAAGCCGGAACGTCCTTCATCGGTTGTGAGCACGCGACCGCCAAAGCCGAAGCCCACAAAAACAACAGAAAGTCCTGTACTTATTACAACGACAACACCGACACCAACTACAAGCACAACCACAACTACCACTACAACCACGCCAAAACCAACTACAACTACTTCCACTTCCACTTCAACTACAACCACAACAACATCAACGACGGAATCACCTATCGAATTGGCGGATATTTCTTCTACGACGAGTGCGGAATTCAGCACAGAAGGTTTCTCTACAACAGGCACTGGCATTTTTGGCACCACAGAGTACAGCACCGAAGATTTTAATAGCACACTGATGACAACGACATCGGCGCCGGCTAATACCCTGGAAGGCATGGATTACCGACAAAGTGAGTGTTTATGGCAATCTGAAACTATTTATCTTTAATAAAGGATATCTTCGTTGAAGTTTTATTTTTTAAGTAATTAGTTAACATTTTTAGCACATTTTTTTCATTCAGGCATACATATGTATATAGATACATTTCGTTAAATAGGCGAAAGAAAGAAATTTATTTTTTTAATGAAATTTATTTTTTTAATGAAATTTAGAAGAGATTTTTTGAGCACGATTTTTTTGAATCTTTATGTTTTTGTATTACCTTTTTAATGTAAATTGCAGAGAAGGAAGCAAATTTGAAAAATTTTGATCGCTAAAAATCTCCAGAAGAATAGCGAGCGCGGCAAAGTTGACAAAGTCGCAGAAATAATATTAGGCAAACAATCAGAATCAGAATCATATTTTATTTTAAGCAAAAAATAATAAGGTAACAGCAGTAGCTCAAGGCCAACACCGGCTGAACTTAGGCAAACAAATTCAAGGAGTTTTTATATGATTACACTGTGCAACAAAAACCAGAAAATTTCTAAACATACGAAGCTATCAATATACATCACGATATGGATATGCGTAAGATTTAGTGAAACTGAGTTTTTAGTTTCTCTCTCTGACGTCAGAATCTTTTTTAAAGGACTTTGAAATTTTAAAATAAGATTCATTCAAAAAATTAAAAAAAAAATCTGTGCAAAATAGTAATAGCAAATGAAAGGGAAAAATCTATAGAATTTATAAAACTTAAATCTTTAAGTACCCAAGGACGAATAGGCATTGAAAGTGTCCATTTAATTAATTTTAATATTTAAGCTAATAAATTTGGAAGGGTGAAATTCGAGGATGTGCTCGTGTGTCTGTTAGTCCATAACATGCAATTTTTTTCAAAAATAATTATTTCAAATCTTCAAGGATATTCAAGGAATAAATTTTAAATAGATATATTCCATACCTATTAGTCCTCTTGCAAAAAAAAAAATTTATTTTTTTTAATTCCACAGAATTTTCTATTTTATTTCATATCATTATTCATTGCACTGAATTTTTAAAATAATTTTTTCAATTAACCATATTTTTGAAATTTTGGAGTCCTGTTGTTAATTTTCTCACCTCTTCTTGGTCGAGTGTGTGTGCGTGAATTTCGACTTACTATTTTATTATTTTTCATTAAACACACCAATGTCGTCTCTTCCCGTCTGTTACCAGATTTCCATCTTAACCCATTTTATTATTACATAACTTGTAACTTTGCTAAAGATTCTAAGCTTTTACGCCATTGTCACACAGCTTTTCTAAAATACTACTGCCTATAAAAACCTGATTAGTAGCAAAAAGTATTGCCCCATTAATCCATCTAAGCCCTCATGACCAAATAAATCGAATTGATATGTATTTATTGGACAAAAGGTTAACACAGTTTACTGCGTTAAACTGTTTCTGTATCAAAAGCCGATTATTAAAATAAAAAACAAAAAAGCAAAAACAGTAATGACACTGAAATTCATTTACACCATTACGAATGCGAATAACTCAAGCTGACATTTGAGTGAGTCAAACGCTGCGACATGAAATTCGTGCGATGAGTGTGCCTTCGAACGCTCACTGAACAGCTGCAATTGATAAACATACAAAACGACATTCTACTACATGTGTGCATATGTACATACCTCTCTATACGCGCACATACCCTACAAGACATTGCTGAGCACTTTAGGCAAAAATTCTCACACATTTACACTTTTGTTTTTGTAGTACGGCATAAATGAGTAGTTTGACTATTAGTACTGAGGACTTTCTGATGACAACATTGAGGGGAAAGTACTCAATTTTTTCCCATGGCCTGAACGAAAATGAGGACTTTGATAAGCACTTTTGTGATTAGGGATAATGATAATATGAGTACTCATATGATACTCAGCTGTCTTGTAGGGTAATAAGTACCTATACATATGAATGCACTTTGTCGAAGCGAAAAGCTTAAGACAGAAGGGTCACTGACTTCTTTGTCATCCTTGATTTTCTACGCCATAGAACGGTTTGAAGGTCTACATCAAGGTCGAGCCCAGCAATCGTGCTGCGCTTTAGTCTATTTACACAGACAAGCATTTGCTATAAGCCTGCCGCATGCTGCATGCCGAATGTCAAAAGCGCTTGCTGTAAGATCAAGCGAACTTGTCGTCTACTGTGTTTGCGTTTGCGTTTGCGTTTTTTGTTTGCTGCTGCAAATCGGGTTTTGTACCTCTGCTTTTTGGCGCATTTCTGTTGCTGCTGCCGCTTGAGCCCTTTTGTGTTTAGCGGAGATGCAATGCACTTTGGTACTTTTGCTTGCTTGGCAGCGCCACTTTGTTGCAAGAAATTGCAGCAACAACTGTAATAGGCATTCTTAAAGTGCAATCGATACGTTGATTGTTGCTGCTATTTATTGCTGACTTTGTTGGTAGCAAATTGCAGGTTGCGTTTATTTAACGACTCGTCTTCCACTGGCTTTGTTTTTTTTTTTTTTTTGTACTGCGGAGGCTTCTTTATTAGCCGCATTGTTGCTGTCATTTAGGCAACGTTTGGCACTGCAAGTGGAACTAGTTTTAGAAGTTGCACGCAAACAGAAAACAGAAAATTGGCGTTGAATAAAAAAATACAAGATTTCGTGCTGAGGTTGACTTAATTTTAACTGACCTAAACAGCAATATTTCCAAATTTTTAAACATGCCTGGTCGCGTACGTTCCTTCTAGCATTGCTCTTTGGTTTCAGCATATCTTTCTTAAGATGGTAATTCTCCTTCAGTATATGGCAAGCTTTTCATTTATGGGAACGAACCCACTGAACCTGAGCATACTTCTTATAGCCATACCCTGTCAGTGTTGATGTCAGCCTTGCATTATTTTAGAGTGAATAGTGTTGTTAGTAGAGTCGACCATTACAGCTCTGACGCCTAACCTCACACAAAACATAATTTCGGTTGAAATTTAAGTCAAAATTCTGCACCTCTGAGTTGAATCAGGATCGGCAAAATTGCACTCTTAGAGCTCAAACCCTGGACACCAAAAAAAAATTTCGCAGGTTTCCATAGAATCCTGAATTAACGTGAAAGCGCGGAGGCTGGGGGAAGGAGTAGTGAGCAAAGGTCTTCCGCCAAGAGCTCTCCATCAACATTAAATTTAAAGATCCATTATGGAAACTCTCTTTCAATTTACCGCAGTTTTTCTAAAGACATATGTAAGTCTTTCGTAAGACTATTATCAATTCTGGCAACTATGTGTCTAGAAAGCCCTTTTTGTCCATTGTACGTCTAATTAAAAGATTTTTGGACGAGGAGGCTGTTCTGTTTGTGTTTTAGCAATAAGTTTTCTGAACAAAATGAAATTTAAAAAATAGTTTTCTTAAAAAAAACACTAAAAATAAAATAAAATTTTTTAAATATTTATTAAACTAAAATAGACTCCTAAAAAGTAAATGAATTGAAAAAATATTTTGCTTGTTAAAATAATATAATCTAAAAATTAAAAGAAAATTACATTACATAATAATAATTAAAAAAAGAAGAAAAAATTTATTTCTCAAAATTCGAACGACACACCGGTACTTTGCTCACTCGGCCATTGCGACTATTGATATAAAATTGCTTTCCATTAAAAGACCCTTGAAACAATATTATCGGGGCTGGGAATACGTAGTAGCGCGACCACTTGCGGTTCACACCTAAATAGATGGCAGTCAAGTCAGCTCAATGAAAATTGGGGCAAAACTACAACAGGCGAAATAGCAAAGTCCTCATGGTCCAGGGTGCATTGAAGGCGGTATGCTTACAAAATGGTGACTCTTTGTCCACTTCCTTTCCCTGGCATACACTCTTGGGTAATTTAAGCTGTCTTTGGTTTATGATTTTGTTCTTGCACACAACTTACGAGCCGCTTACTCATAGCAAATGGCTTAAATAAAACTTTTCCACAGCAGAAACTTAACTTGGCTGCCTAAGGATGACATCAATGGCAAGCAATTTTACATATTTTGGTATTTCAATTCGAAATTAAAAACCATAACAACTGAATAGTAGGCACGTACCAACCAATTCATCAACAGCAGATATTAACGAAAAATATAATATGGAATAGTGTCGTTGCCCTTAGTCCTGATCTTTCACGAACCGACTCTTAACCTTCAAAATTTCTCTGAATATCGTGTAGCGGTAATAAAAAGTACTAATAAAAACAGCAAAGACTTAAAGAATTTTTACGACTTGCTTTTTATTAAAATGGTCCAATAAACCTTGACTTTGACCAGCCATGTTTTGGGCATTCTGCAGAGTCTTCGGCAAAATGCTATATTCAATCCAACAAAATGTTTGCAGTAGAAGCCAACCTGTTCAGCTTTAAAAGCACCTCCACGCCTTCCGCTCTGCATAGCTGCGCCCATGTAACTTGCTACAACGATGGCGTTTTATGCCGCTGCGTATAGCTGCAGCCATTAAATCAGCAATCCAACATCAACGCGCCTTTGATTGTCCACCGCGCACAGATTACACGGCTGTCTTGCATTTGAGTCGTTTGTCTTTTCTCTGCAAATAGCTGTATCCGCCACGTTCATTCAACATAAATACACACAGCTGGCGGACGGTCCGCATGCATCACGATAATTGCCTGGAAATACAAATCGGTCAGTCAGTCGCTGGTTCGCTTTGTTGCTTGGCATGTTGGTTGGTTGGTTGATTGGTTGGTTGGTTGATTGGTTGACGATGGCGCATGCTCATCGCAGTTGTTGTAAAATTCAAAAAGGAGGTTATGCTCGGTGCTCGAAGCATTGGCTTTAATTGTATGCGTGAATGCAAAGCATGCGATAATACATACATATATGAATTGGAGGAATGTGTGTGTTACACGCACATTTGACCCGCAAGACTTGCTTGATTTCTGGCACACAGATCACCAACACTGCTGACACGCACTCGCGCGCCGTAGAAATCTTTAGCAAAAATGCAAAAAATCACTGGCAACACTCCTGTACGGCTGACCACTGACGATGGCACATTTGCAAAGCAAATTAAAAAATTTCTTTTTCGTTTTTTTTTTTTGCATTCATTTTTTTTTTTTACTTTTCGCTCCGCTCCTTCGCGCTAACTGTAAACCAGGCTACGACGGTGTTCTGTTGCTTGCGATCTTTAATGCTGCAGATAAGGTTAATTGATTATGAAATGGCAACGGTTTGCCATGTGTTCGTTCGTTCTGTCTGGCTGTTCGTCGACACTTTGGCCTCTTCAGCTGCGCATGTAAAAACAAAAAAAAAACATCTCTACAATATGGAGGCATGTGGCATGCTGCTTGCCTGTAGAATGTTGTCCACAGTCAGTAAAAGCATCAACTTAATCGTATTCACATGTGTACTTGCCAGTATATTTACATAAATTTGTACGTATGTATGTAGATATGAGGAAAAAATTAAAAAGTATGCGAAGTGTTGGCTTACGCTTGTGGAAGCAGGTCAAATTGGAAGTGTTTAAAATTGCATTATCGTCGTAAGCCATGCAGGAAAATGGACGCGTCCTGAGGCGGTATTCATCTTGGGTTTATAGCATCATACACTCGTTCTGACTTGATATATTTTATTTATGGATGAAAAATTTATTATATGCTCTAGAACGCGATACTTTTCCTAATTTCATTCAGATTTCGCACCACTGAATAGGTATTCAAAGAAGTGGTTCGGCTGCGTCGAATAAATTGGCCGTAATGCGTGTTCTTATATTCTAAATAACTTATTTTATTTCTTATTAGATCTACATATATTTTAATCTTAGTCTTAATCTTAACCTTAATTTAATCTTAACTTTAATCTTGATCTTAATTTTAATCATAATCTTAGTGTGAATCATAATCTTAGTTTAATCTTTACATTAATCCTAATATTAATCTTAATCTAAATCTAAATTTCAATCTGAATCTTTATTTTAATCATCATCTCAATCTTAATCCTATTATTAATGTTAATTTTAATCTTAGTCTTGATTTTAAATTTAATCTTAATCTTATTATTAATTTAAATCTTTATCTTAATCTTAATCTTGTCTTAATCTATTCGTTATCTTAATCTTGATCTTAATCATAATCATTGTCTTAATGTCATCTTAATTTACTCTTAACCTTAACCGTAATCTAAATCTAAATCTTAATCTGAATCTTAGTCTTAGTCTTAATTTTAATCCTAATATTAATCTTACTTTCAATCTTAATCTTAATCTTAATCAAAATCTTATACTTAATTTTAATATTAATCTTAGTCTTATTCTTACTCTTAATTTAATATTAACCTTAATCTTCATTTTTGCCTTAATCTTAATCTAAATCTTAATCTTAATCCGAATCTTAATTTAAATTGTAATCTTAATTTTTATCTTAATCTTAATCCTAACCTTAATCTTAATTTTAACCTTGATCATCATCTTAATCTTGGTCCTGAACTTGATCTTTAACATCATCTTAATCTTCGCCTTTATCGTCATCTCAGTCTTCGTCTCCAACCGCTTCTTCTTCTTTATCTTCATCTATAAGCATACCCTTATCTGTATCATTATCATTATATTTACCTTCATCTTTATCTTCATATCCATTTTCATCTTCGTATTCATCTTCATGTTTATCTTTATCTTCACTCTCATCTTCTTCTAAATCTTCATCTCTTATCTCCACCTTCATCTTCATATTCATATTCATCTTAAGCCTCATCTTCTCCTTAAACTCAATCTTAATATTTGGCTGTATTTTTATACAAAAAAAAAAATAGTTTTAAAAGTATAGTTCTTAGTTTTAATTGTTTTCTTAACGTTAAACGTTGCTTCCGAATTATTAAAATTTCTAAACTTTTTTTATTTACAGTTTGTGGTCGCCGCATGTTCCCCGAACCACGTGTTGTCGGCGGATCGAATGCCGCCTTCGGACGTTGGCCTTGGCAAATATCGCTGCGACAATGGCGCACATCAACTTATCTGCATAAATGTGGAGCAGCGTTGCTGAATGAAAATTGGGCCATCACAGCGGCGCACTGTGTGGAGAAGTAATGGCGTTTTGATTTCACTCAATGGAAGACATTTCTAATTACAATGATTTTCGTTTCTCTATTTGATTTTCAGTGTACCACCCTCCGACTTATTGCTGCGCATGGGCGAATATGATTTAGCGGAAGAAGAAGAGCCGTACGGCTATCAGGAACGACGCGTACAAATTGTGGCTTCACACCCGCAGTTCGATGCGCGAACTTTTGAGTACGATTTGGCGTTACTTAGGTGAGTGGTGGGAATGACGAAATGGGACGAATTCAAAATTTACCCAACTGAAAGACTGGTTATTTCACATCGAAATTTCGTATACGGTTCCTAAGCACTTAGTGACATAGAAATTTGCATTTCAATATCGATAAATATATAAATAATCATTCATGTGTCGATTATTATAACAACTACCACATCGTTAGCGATCTTATTCTTTTTGATTGGCACTAGTATAAGCTTTTAAGCGATTTTGGACGAGTTCAACATTGCACTTCAGTCGTTCGTCCATCTACTTGGATATCGATATCGTTATCGATCATTTGCATAGTTATGTAGAAAATAATCGACAAACAAAATCGATGAAACAAATGAAATCGATTGATAAAACTTTCCTTTAGTATCTAGAATGCTTTAGATATCAGTGAGAAAATCGATAAAAATCTATATCGAAAATTATTTCGGTACTAATTTTTTTAAATAGAATCGAAAGCAATAAAGATACGATAATCTTAAATAATTCGATAAAAATATCGATAATTATACACATTTCGGTTATTAACTCCAATACATATTATAGCGATAGTTACGTCTGCACCGATAACATATAAAATATAATATTTCAATAAATAAGTCGATAGAAATTTAACTTTCGATAAATATACTGATACAATTATAAAGAAAAATATCGAAAAAATCGATAAAAGTAACGATGCCGTTAAACACAACGTATATAATTTTAATACAATCCATCGCACGACTTTCTATTTTTCAGATTCTATGAGCCGGTGGTCTTCCAGCCCAACATCATTCCCGTTTGTGTGCCTAACAGCGACATTGACTTTGTCGGCCAAACAGCCTTTGTCACCGGCTGGGGGAGACTCTACGAAAATGGTCCGCTGCCGAGTGTGTTGCAAGAGGTAGCTGTACCAGTGATCAACAACACCATCTGTGAATCGATGTATCGAGTGGCCGGTTTCATCGAACACATACCACACATCTTCATTTGTGCTGGCTGGAAGAAGGGCGGCTACGATTCCTGCGAAGGTAAGTTAACAAATTTGAAGAATATTTAATACCAGAAACTAACTTTCTCTCGCTTGCTTTCTTAAGGTGACTCCGGCGGTCCAATGGTGCTGCAACGTGAGGACGATAAGCGCTTCCAGCTGGGCGGTGTCATCTCGTGGGGTATCGGCTGCGCTGAAGCCAATCAACCAGGCGTGTACACGCGAATCTCTGAATTTAGAGATTGGATAAATCAAATTCTGCAATTCTAGAAAATGTATAAACGTTCGAGCAGACAGAGCAACTTTGTTATTGTTCTTGTAACTAGCGTAAAATTAGTTTTTGTATTACTCGTATTTGAATTTTGAATATTTGATTTATTTAGCTCATATTTGATCAAATAGCTATGTTTGTATGCACATACATATGTATGTACCTTCACATCGCTCACGCACACATAAATACCCACATTCGCGATATTTAAACTCTTGAAGTATTTAACTCGCAATAAGTGGTAAAAGGTATTCAAAATAATTCAGTTAGTAAATTTTTACAAACATTTCAAAATACTGATATACATACATACTACAAATATGAAAAGGATCATAGAGAAAAAACTCGTGCTTTGGTTATAATCCCCATTTGCTGGAATGCGCTTCACCATGTGCCCTCGCAGCTAACCATTTATAATCAAAGCAACGACTTGTATCAACTTGCACCTCCACAAAACGTTTCAGATCACGACCGCAAGAAGCATTTAAAGAAATAGTTTTAGTTATAAATAATTAAAAAAAAAAAACAAAAACAAAAACAAATGTGATGTTTGCTGCAAAATATTCATTTAATCATAATTTTATGTCATTATGTCTCTTATAAAAAGTATGTTGTTGACAAATTATAAATCAACCATCCAACCAATACTTGCGTGCATTTGTTAGCATTTTTCGATAAAAAAAAATATATATTTTTTAAACATATTTTTACATGCATAGATACTTATTGTTTATTTGCGTTATTGTGCTAACTTTATGAGACGGGTGTACAATTAACGAATATGTTCATGAAATTTAAAAAAAAAACAAAACACAATCACTTAGTGTTATTCATATTTTGTATATATTTATAAATAGTTGTTAATAAATATCCCAATGCTGTATTTAAATAAAATTAATTTACTTGTAAGTCGATATTAAAATATTTAGCAATTTTTTTTTTTTTTAATTTACTTAGTTATAAATATTCACATAATTTGCAATAATGTACTTTGTACTTTGTAATTTTATTATGCATGTAATTTGCACATTTTGAAAATGTTTTCTAAAAACATATTTCAGTCATAGTTCACATTCGTGTTATTTATTAATTAAATACTAAATTAATTTTAAAAATAAAAATTCGAAAAAAAACACAAATCATTAGTTTGTAAGTTGAAAGGCTAAGTTTAAACGCATTTACTCATCAACGAATATTGTCTAAATTATTGCAAATAAAGTATAAAATAAAAATTTTAACATAAATATTTGTTTTTTGTATTTCACTTAAAATTCCAAAATGTAAATGGATAATTCTAATTAACTTGTCTCAAGCTGGTTCTACTAGAAAAGCCAGAAAAGCGGTTCTACTGCTTAACCAATTTCTTAACTAAAAACTGTTTTAATAGATTGAGCCTAGCTAGATTAGTGCTTCTTTAGCAAACACTGAACTAACTAGTGATCCCGTATGGCATTGAAACGCCAAAATCATTGGTCAAGAAATTACACAAAGTAGGGGAAATTTAAAAAATTTGGATATTGTTTTTGCATCAAACCAATTCAAAATGCCTCGCAAATTTGTAAATTAGTACTTTTGAATCAAAAACTTTTCAGCCCTCCTTTTAATGTTTAATTTTCTTAACAGCTGGCAACCCTTCTACGTGTAGTTTGGTTAGATAATGCAATAATTAATTTAACCTATTAAATTATTTGAATTTTTACAGCTGGCAGACTTTTTTCAAAAAAATAAGACCTTGGCTGATCTTCAAATTTCACCGACGAAAATGTACAATATGCATTCGCACCACGTTCAAATACCGAATTGGTACTTAGCTACACAAATTAACTAATACTAGTGTTCGCCCTGCGGTTAAAATTCAACCACTGGAATTAAGTGGAATTGAGGTGAGTTAAGGTGAGTTCAACTGAGTTGAGTTTAGTTGAGTTGATCTAAGGTGAGTAGAGATGAGTTTAGGTGAGGTGGAATCAGGTGACTTGAGGTGAAACAAGGTTGATTAAGATGATTTGAGTAAAAGTGAGGTGAGGTTAACCGAGCTGAAACGAAATGAGCTGAGTTAGGGTGAACTGAGCGGAGTTGATGTGAGGTTAGTTCAGGTGAGATGTGGAGATTGAGGTGATTTGAAGTAAGATGTAGTGAGTTGCGGCGAAATGAGTTGAACAACATAACACAATATAACATAACATAACATAACACATCTCATTCTTCAGTTTTATCCAAGAATGATAGTCTTCCTACATCGTCAGTTTTATCAATTTCTCTATCTCTATTTTAATCTCTCTCACTCTCTATGTTTCTATCTTTGTCTCCACCGTTTTTTATCTTTATGTTTATCTTTATATCTATCTTTTCAACTTTAACTCTATCTCTTATTTTCCCTTTATCCTAATCTTTGTCTTCATTCTTTTCTTCATCTACGTACATTTTCCCCACCTTTGTCATAATATTAAGTATTTAAATCTACCTTTCTCTTTTTAATTTTTGCCTTAATCCCTTTCTTCTGCACACCACTCAACTTTACCTTCTTCCTTGTATGAATCTTAATCTACATAAATCCCATTCCTTAACTGCTACTTAGCACGTTCTTTAATTCAGTGTCAATATTAAAGCATAAATTTAGGATGAATTTCCTCCTCACGGGCATGTACGGCATTTTATTATATAAAATTAGATATAAGATCTCTTTCTAACGCGCGCAATAAAGAAAATACGATCGTTCTTACGGCTAAATATTGGGCTACGTAACTGGAACGACCGTGATCTATTTCTGGTCAATAACGGTCGTTCCTGCAGATACTCTACAAACCTTGGAATAGTTTTGTGCAAGAAAATATGATAAATAGTTAAAATCATTAGTTTAGATTAAACTCAGATTGATGTCGTTGCTCGCATATTATTAAGTAAAACACGCATACGTCGATCAGCGCCTAAATGCATACTAACATTTGGTTACACTCCAAAGGGAAATTTTAAAATGGTATTTCACACAATCAACAATCTTGAAGAGCTGGCGTCCGCCACAAAGTATGCCACGATTTAACGAAACAGCAAGCTGGCTAAACTAGCAATAAGTAATCAATTGGTAGGTAAGAATTGCGCTAACTAAGCATGCATGACCTTATGTACGCTCGCATGCAAACATTCATATGTATGTAGGCATGGGCGTAGCCAGGTAAGGGCAGGGGGTGCTCGATCTCCCCCCCTAAGTTCCAAATTTTCCTTATATATATATAAAATAGTACCCTGAAATGCCAGCTTAATAGGGTCGAGCCCGCCCCCCCTAAATTTCATTCTGGCTACGCCGATGTATGTAGGTGTGGAACAAAGGTCAGTGCCACTAGAAAAACCCGCAAACAGAGGATACAGCAAACAAAACAATAAAACAACTACCCCACCCACATTATAAGTATGTACTATTTATATTAAAACTAGCGGAAAAGGTAAAATAAATAAAAGCAAAAGTGAGAAGCGACAAAAATATTAGACGAACGTGAAAAGTGAAAAAGTACATTCATTTGCTTTTATTTACCTTAATTTTTAAAAACCAAACATAAATAAGTGGATGTCACTACATCGACCAGCTTCACAATATTAAAATTCAGTGCGTACCTCTACGCTGCGCTAACGCATGGCCCTGGCTGTGTGTCAATTGACAGCTACCGAATAATTTGTAGCTAGAGAGCCCATTGCAATGCGGGAATCTGCGTTCGCTTCTGCTTTGTGGGTAAAAGAAACAGGACGGAGGGAGCGTTATTTGAACTGCATATGTGAAGAAGAAAAAAAAAAAAAAATATAGCAATGAGTGGTGAAAAGAAGCTCGGTTGGGTTTCTTTGAAGCAGGTACCTTAGTATGTATATAAATATTTAAATATTCAGAGGAACGAGTACATGATTCAAATACGAGTAGGCGCATCAAAGCCTATGTAATGTGAATTTAAAATAGTTTTCTCGGTATTCCCATATGATGGCGTATGGGATGCCAAAAATGCTACACCTCAAAATAGAAAAAAATAGATAAAAGTGAAATGTATCATTTGTCCCGTTTAAAAAAAAAATATTTTTAGCTTCCACGAAAATGCTTTATATTTCATTTCCACCAAGCCTTAAGTGCAGTGTATGCCTAAATATGGGAAAGAGGAGATTACACCTCGAAGGGCGTTATTGCTCCTATTAGGTACAAGCAAGCGAAGTAAAAAAAGCAAATGATAAGAAATATACCTTGCCAATCATCCCATTTTACAATTCCTCTGCATCTTAACTGCAGTTAATATTGTGGTGGAAATAGGCTATTAGACTCTTCGTAAAATAAATTATCCACTCATTTCTAAGAAAAATACGATTTTTTCAACGAAAATATATATGTACAACGGAAAAGCTTAACGGCAGCCGAGTTATAACGAAATAATAAATTATTTAAATACGAAGAACTTATTTAGTGATTTTTCTTTTGGATATTTGAGCTTAAAGTTTTATTATGCAAAATAATTGATTTAAATAGCACTAGAAAGGCAGATAAAAGGGTAAAAGATTTCATTAAGAGAGTTTTCACATTTTAAAAGATAAAATATAATTTAAATTATAAGTTGAACGGAATTTTAAAATATGGTTGTCAAACGAACGATACATAATTAAAAAAGGCTTCATTTCTAAAACATTTTTAATAGAGTTGCCACCTATTTAGATTTTAAGATTCACTTTTATTTATAAATTTAATGAAGTAGATATTAAGCTTAATTTCGAAAATATTTTTGAATAGGGTTGCCATCTGCTTAAAGCACTTATTTAAATGGCACTGAAGATGGCAGAACGCCGAAACTTGTTTGTCTTCAAACCAAATTTGACAAGGGATGTCGGAAAATCGTTCCACAATATACTCGTATATGACATTCTGGCTGTTAAATGAACGCAGATAATTTTTAAGAGAGTTGCCACCTGTTTAAAAAACAAATTTGTTTAATCAAACTGATCAACTAACTATTAAAATATGGATGTCAAACGAAAGGAATTTAAAAAGGTTTTACTTCGAGAATATTTTTAAAGGTCGTTACCACCTGTTTTAAAATCAAGTTTAATAAAAAATGTAAGTAAATAAAATACAACATACAAACATGTCAAACGAAACCCCTTTAGAAGACTTCATTTCGATAAAATATGATTATAGAGGGTTGCCACATGTTCAAAATTTAATGAAATATTACAATATGGATGGCAAAAGAAAGATGTTTAAGAAAGCTTTATTTCGAAACGATCTTTAAAAGTGTATTGTCACCTGTTAAAAGTCAAATTCAGTGTAATTAGCCCTTCCTCCTTGATATGTGAATAAGAACTAACCCTTTTGGAACAATTTAAAAAAAATATTAACGAAAGGCTACAAAAGCATTGGCAAAAATTTGTTTTTCAATGCACGAAGGCGTTTTTGAATACACGATATAGTACATACAACTTCAATACTTATAAAGGAAGAACAATTCGTCAACCTTTTTATTTACTAAACAATGTTGTTTTTGGTGAAATATATTTTTTCTACATTTCAAAATATAACGCTAAGCCGCACTTCGCGCGGGTGGAGCTGCGTCTATCCTTTGCGAAATCGCTAAGTTAGCAAGTAAATACGAGTATTTCATAATAAATTTAGAAAAATATGTTAGTC